GCATTAATACCATAGAAATTGAGCTGGCTCATGTCTGGTCCTTGATTAATAGAACCTGTCTGGCTGTTAGAAAGCAAGGAGCAAAGACTGTTTTGGGTGATTGACAGCTTCCCCATGACCATGACATTCTTTATAGTTCTTATGTCTGAGTTAAATTAGTTGATTACTGGTAATCTCACCTTCCAAATCATTGCTTAAGTCAGTAAGAGAGTCCTTGGTTGTCCAGGCTCTTTGCTAGATGGTTCAAGGCACATATCACTGTGAGTGTTTATATAAAGAGTCTGAAACATATAATCGTATCTTTGTATCTAAAGAGATTATTTTCATTACTCAAAGTCAAATTACAATGAAGAGGAACAAATGTCACAACAACAACAAATATTATCTCATGATAAAATTAAAATTCTAAGTTTTCGACGGCTGAGATTAGTATCTTGATGGTTCTTTAATAGGATTTCCCAATCTTAAGGAAAAACTTGAATTTCATGTGAGATTGTGAGGCCTTGGCCAAAACAGGGACTAACATGAAGCTTAAGATGCAACTCCAATAAGCTGCGTTGTGATTTGTGATTAATGACAAGACTAACTATCATGGAAATAATGTTCCAAATGAAAGGAAGCATGTCACATGTTGACATGTGCCGGTGTATGGGACAAAAATTTTAATGGGGACCAATGCAATTCCAACCTAATCATATTAACAAATCTTCATTATTTCCATTACGTTGATCAAAGAAGTGACAATCATGTCGGTTTGAGCTACTTTGTGCCATGTTAAAGTACAGATATTAAAGTGAATTGTCTAATCCAAATAAAACATAATTAATTAATCACGTCAAAATCAACTTAATAAGTACACAACAAAAAAACCTCATATGAAAAGTATTTCGGGTAAGTCAGATTGCATAGATGAGGTGTGTTACATGGATAATATTGTTAAAATATCAATCAAAGGTCACGTGTGTTTTACGAGCTAAGAAATGACACGTCCACTAAAAGGGTTATTCATGCTATTCAACACGGCTAACCTCAACTTAAAGTCGGTAATTTTGTATCCAATTCAAATTGCANTGTTTAAGGAATCAAAGCATGCTTTGAAGCATGTGATTTCTTCCATAATTACTTTTTTAAGTATTAATTTTCAATTCCTTAAACACCTCTTTTGCTTCTAACATGCCCCCATACTCAGATACACCGTGGCATATTAATGACGATTCATTTTTATTCCTTCTTATCACGGTGTTAATCTCGAATTATGTGCTACAAGAAATAGAATTACATCAACCTACACCAAGACTATTATTATTATTTCCAGGTATTTATGATACTCCAATACATTATACCCCATGTTTGGTATATAAAATATACACATGTAAGACCCACAAATATATCATAATTATTAACAATTATTTGTCCTATAAATGACTATTTTACCCTTTATCAATCCAATTCATATCATGTTAAGGGGTACAATTGTCTTTTATATCCTTAACCCTTTGACTCATCTTCCCAAACCCACCCCTCTTTAGGTTTCATCAAATCCATGATCATGAGTTTAATCTTTAGGCAAGTTACGGGCTGGGTTTAGGAACTAATGATTAAATTTTCAATCCAAACATGAGATTTAAAAATTGTCTAGACTATTATCCCTAAACTCATCTTCCCAAACTCTCTCATACCCTTCTACCAAATAATCCCTTGGTGGAACCCTTTTTAGGGGTATGTCGTTATAGAGGAAAACCATTTTGTTCATTTCTACCCATAGACTTTAAAGCATCCACACGTGATGAGAACATGTTTATGGTTTAATTAAATTCATGGTGTGTATTTGTGCCAAATCACACCAATAGCGATGACAAATACTCATCCCTCGTAG